AGACTGAGCGTTCTCAGACAAATGCGTTGATTCTGAGTTTGGATGAAAAGGGGACAGAAGGAAGAACAAGAACAAGAAGAAGGCATCACGTCGACGAACAAGCTCACGAGCGACGCTGGAACGGAACAACGGCGAGAGTGGAAAAGCAAAAGCAAAAGCAAAAAAGAGCGACTCGCGCTACTCACGCAGATTTCGAATGACGGCAAGCGGAAACTTTGCAGAGTTTACAAGCGGGCACGACTGGGCAAGGTAGATAGATCTACAAGGGATCCTTGTCATCACTCGAAGGCGGCATTCGCGGCGTTTCTCATCCGACGACAGTACTTGTCTTTGATTTTTGCTTGCTACTGTATTGGCACTATTGATCTATTGATGGGTTCCCTTTTCCACAACACCTCATTTCCCATCTTGTCTTTTCTTCTTCTTCTTCCACTTTCGCTTTGCTGCCGACAGTCACATCGAATGAGATTGCATTCAATGCCGCAGCTCGTGTCGATTGTTGTTGCCGCGCTCGCCGTCGCACTCCTGACAACGACCACGATTGTCAACGCCGATGCCAATGCCAACGTCGATCATGCCAGCGGGAGTGGCAAGGTGAACGCGGGCTTCTTTGCCGGGTACGCAGTCGAGAGCGTCAAGATCACCCCGACTGGGCTGACTGGGACGCTTGTGCTGCCGGCTGGCTCGACGGGTCCGTACGGCAACGACTCGGTCCGCCTCAACTGGCTCGTCGAGTTCCAGACTCAGCAGCGTCTGCACGTCAAGATCACCGACGCCGCGGTCGCGCGCTGGGAAGTGCCCTTCGTCGTGGACGACCCGCAGTCAGACCACCATCCCACCCAAGCCGACGACCAACACATGAGCATGAAGCACAAGAAAAGCAACGGATTTGTCTACAGGGACTATCTCGACGCGGATGGCCGCGAGAAGAAGGCAAACGCGCCCGCTGACCACCTCACCGCCGCTGCTGGCTCCAGCAATGGGTTTGACTTTGAGTTCTCGTACACGACTTCGCCGTTCGGATTTGCGGTCGTGCGCCAGTCGACAGGCGACGTGCTGTTCAACTCGACTCCAAGCACTGCAGATCAGGACTTCAACGGCCTGACGTTTGAGAACATGTACTTGGAAATGTCCACCCGCTTGCCCGACCAGCCCAACATTTACGGATTGGGCGAGCGCGTGCACCAATTCCGCCTCGACCCCACCGGGAAAACGTACACCATCTTTGCTCGCGATCAAGGCACGCCGTACGACGATGGCTTGGCGCCCGGAAAAAACCTGTATGGCTCGCACCCTTTCTACCTCGAAATGCGCAACGGGTTGGCGCACGGCGTGTTCAACCTCAACTCGAATGCCCAGGACGTTGTCATTGACAACAACTTGCTCACGTACAAGATTGTCGGAGGTGTGTTTGACATGTACTTTGTCCTCGGCCCCGAGCCCGAGTCGGTCGTTCAGCAATACCACGAACTCATCGGCAAGCCGACCATGATCCCGTACTGGGGACTCGGATTCCACCAGTGCCGCTGGGGCTACCAAAACATTTCCGTCGTGGAGGAAGTTGTCCGTCAGTACCGCGTCAACCAGCTCCCGCTCGACACCATGTGGAACGACATTGACTACATGGACAAGTATTTCGACTTTACCTTCGATCCCGTCAACTTCCCGACCTCCCAGATGCAGCAATTTGTTGCCAATCTTACCAGCACCAACCAGCACTACATGTAAGACGAAGAATTTCTTTTTTGTTCTGTTTGTTTGTTTGATTCTTGCTTTCTTTCTTTTGGCTTCTGACTTTGACCGTCACTTTCTTTTGGCTTGCCCTTGCACGTGCCCTTCCCCTACCCCCCCTCGCTTCCAGGATGATCGTCGATGCTGGCATTCCGATTCAGTCTGGATACCCTGCCTACGATCAAGGCATTGCCCAAAATGTCTTTATTGGCGATCCGAACGTGAACGCGCCTGCGCTCGGCTCCGTCTGGCCTGGCGCTGTTCACTTCCCTGACTGGCTCGCTGCCAACTCATCCAGCTGGTGGGTCAACAATCTTCGTGACTTCCACACCAACTCTGCAGCATTCTCGGGCGTCTGGCTGGACATGAACGAAATGAGCAACTTTTGTGATGGTGACTGCAACCGCACCACCACTCCCTCAATCGTTCCGCCATACTGGCCCGGCCAAACTGACATCCAAGTCAAAACGATGAGCATGGATGCACGCCACGTCGGCACAAGTGAGGACTTGAATTTTTTATTTTTTTTGCCTTTAATTTTGCTTGCTCGCTTGCTTGTATGCTTCGTCACACATGCATGCTTACATCCGATTTGTACCTCTTGCCCAACAGCCGAGTTCAACGCCCATTCCCTTTTCGGATTCCTGGAAACGCGTGCTACCAACCAATTCTTGACCCAGGTGCTCCAACGTCGTCCAGTCATCATCTCCCGCTCCACGTTCCCTGGCCACGGTCGCTTCGGAGGCCACTGGCTTGGCGGTATGTGTTGCGCAAGCAGTTTTTTTTAAAACAATCAAAGTCATGTCTGAGAGTCTTTGCGTTGGTTGTCTCCGGTTGCTTTTTTCTGATTGTCTTCTCTTCGGCTGGGCAGACAATACCGCTACTTGGGACGATCTGACGTACTCGATCAGCGGCGTTTTCGACTTCCAGCTGTTCGGCATCCCGCTTGTTGGTGCAGACATTTGCGGCTTTAACGGGGATACCACAGGTGAGCTTCGTCGCCGCAACGACAACTTGGAATGCCAGTGCGAAACCCTTTTTGTGCTCAGTTTCTCGTTTTTTGCCTTAATTTCTATTCATTTCGATGCACAGAGGAACTGTGCACCCGTTGGATGCAGCTTGGCACGCTCTACCCGTTCTCACGCAACCACAACACCATCGGCGCGCGCCCCCAGGAGCCGTACGCGTTTGGCCCCACGTTGCTCAATGCCAGGTGCGTAGACTTTTTTCTTCACCAAACCAAAGATAACAATGTTTGGCTTGTTCTTCTGTAGTTGCTGTCGCTTATTCTCCACTCGTGCTTTTTTTTTTCTCTCTCTCTCTCTCTCTCTTTTTGGCTTTCTTGCACAGCCGCATTGCCCTCAATCTTCGCTATTCGTTGCTCCCGTACTACTACACCATTTTCCACCGCATGTCCATTGTTGGTGGATCGCTCTTCCGTCCTCTCATGTTCGAATGGCCCATGGACTCCACGCTGCTTGAAATCGACCACCAGTTTTTGATCGGAGCAGGTTTGCTGGCAAGCCCAGTTCTCACGCAAGGCGCCACCTCTGTTTCTGCCTACTTCCCCGCCGCCGTCTGGTATGACTTTTACAACGGAGCTCCCTTGGGCAACGCCAATTCCGGATCCTGGGTCACCCTTGACGCACCCATCGACAAAATCCCGCTGAGCATTCGTGGCGGTATGTGTTGGCATACGTCCTTATTTTCGAAGCTGTTCTTGATGTGTGTTTTTTTGTTTTTTAACCATGCGGTGTTGCTCTGGGCTTTTGGCAGGCCACATCATTCCCATGCAAAATCCCAACGGCGCACTCACGACGGCCGACACCCGCACGCAGCCGTATCAGCTCCTCGTTGCCCTCGATGCCAACAATACGGCCCTGGGCTATTTGTATTGGGATGAGGGCGACGGTGTTTCGACCGAAGCTCTGGGTCACTACACGATTCTTGAATTCCAGGCGCAACCGACCGACTCTGGCGCTCAGCTCACCTCCACGCTGGCCACTCCCCTGTACGCCCCGCTCGTTCTGTCCAAGTTCAGTTCCGTCACCGTGTATGGCGTGTCGTCTGCGTCCACTGTGGCTGTGAATGGGTCGCCGAGCTTGACGTTCTCCTACAATGCCAGCTCGAAGGTCAGTCCAAGTTGGTGTTGATGTTGAGGGGGGGGGTTCAGTCGAATGACGTGCTCGGCTGATGTTCTTTTGATGTGGAACTGACTGAAATTGGGGACAAACTTTCGAACAGACTCTCGTTGTCTCTGAGCTCTCGCTCAGCCTGGGCCAGCCCTTCACTATCCTCTGGCAGTGAGCTGCTGGAATGTGTGTTGTGTATTTTGACTTTTATTGTCGGCTGTTGATACCCTTCTGTGAAATGAACAGGGAACTCAACAGACGGAAAGAAGAAGCATAAAGCACGACAGCTTGCAAGCGGTCATCAACGCAAATCCTAGCAATGTTCAACCCTTCAATTAAATAATGATCCAAAGCAGCTCTGAAACACACACACACACACACACACACACACACACACACACACACACACACACACACACACACACACACACACACACACACATGGATGTCCCCGTCCCCCGAGTGAACGTAGCTAGGCGGCCTACGTGCGAGAAATGGCGCACTTGCACAGGTAGACGGGAATGCAGCGATCCTCCGCAAAGACGACAACAGTCTTTGTATCTCCGTCGATGCACAGCACAGAGTCGTAGCCTTTGCGCGCGGCACGGGCACGGACTGGCGCAGAATTGCTCAGAACGGAGCTGGAGGATTGTTGCACTTTCAGACACCGATTGATGCGGACGAGCGCAAGGACGAGCGCAATCGAAGAGCTCTTCTGCGCCATTTCCGTTCGACTCGCATGGGCAGCGGCCAAGGACGTGTACAGAGCAACGGGAGCGGTACCGGCTGGCAGCACGCCAGTGTCGGCAATCTGGGTGAGCGTTTCGCGATCTCGCGGAACATAATGGACCAAATGCAAGGTCGAGGTTGAGGCCGCCTTCTCAGACCGTGACTGCTCAGACCGTGACTGCTCCATCCAGCTCTGCAACGCAGCGCCCCCAGACAGGACTGAGAAGAGACGCGAGAGCGTGAAAGAAACCCCCATCGCCGCCAAAGTGCGACTGGATTCGATGCGCAAGAGATCGGCCACGGACGCAAACTCAGACTCGGTTGAGCTGACCTTGACCGTGACAGGGGTCGTGCGGGCGGCCGATTTTGTGGATCCTGTCGCAGGATCGAGCGAAGACTGTTCGCCAAACTCGAGCCGGCGAAACGCTGGCGATGCTGCACCTCGTCCTGTGCTGTTGCTGTCGAAATCCGACGCAATGGTCGAGTTGCCTGCGGATTGTGCCACCGTTACCCAAGGCTTGACAACAGGAGAGCTCGAGGTTGCGGCAGGGTCCAGTTGTGCGAGGACCGGCTTCTGAGCCCGCGCAAGCTGTGGTTGCGATTGGGCGTGTTGTCGCTGTCCCGGTGTTCCAGCCGCCGCCACTACAGCCGCATCCTTGTCCTGAAAGAGCAACTCTGAGCTGCTCATATTGTTCGAATTGGCTGCGCTACCGTGGCCGAAACTTGTGTTGAGTTGATCCGCTCGCATCAATGCGGAGGTTGAAAGCAGATTGTTTGTCAAAGCCGACTGGGTTTGTTGCAAGAGTTGAGATTGGCTGAAGAGCTGTTGCATCATGGCCAGCTGCGTCTGGAGAGCCATCTGTTGTTGTGACGACTGCTGCTGCTGAGCCTCCCACTCTCGCCGGCGCTGCTCGTCCTGAACACGCAGCCGCTCGAACATGGCATCCATTTTCGAAAGGAACGTGGTGTGCGCCGCCGCCGTAGTCTGCTCGACAGCTGCTGCGACAGCAGCCATCGCAGCGACCGACGCCGTGCTGTCGGGCCGAGAGGGTGGCGTCGCCACCGCTCGAGCGTGTGGAAACACAGAAGCTGCGGCAGCGTTTGGTGGGAATGCGTGCGATGCTGGCAACGGCGTAGATTGTGACATGGAGGATACTCGACGAACCGGCGTCATGAGCTCGTCAACGACTGCTGGCGCAACATGTGCAGCGCCGTTGCTGTCGGAGCGTCGTGGTGCTGGTGGTTGTGGCGTGTGGTCTGTAGATGATGGTCCAGGCAAGCCATTGCTTGACGACAATTGTGATTCAAGCGTCGACCCGTAGCTAGCGCTGGGTGTCGAGGAAACTTGCAACGAGGAAGTGGATGACGATTGTTGCCGTCTTGGCGTTGCTGACACACTACCGGGATGGTGCGATGGAGCACGATATGTCAACTTGTTGGTGGAAGCGCCTGCCGCGTTGCTCTTGGCGGTGTGAGATGGAGTGCCTCCTCCTGGATGGCGATCGTCGGCTGGCTCTTCTCCATCGTCTTCTTCTGGCTCCCATGGCCGGCGACTGGTTCCGTTCAAGATATTGGTTGCATCAATGCTATTGAAGGAAGGTACCGTAAATAAGGGCGAAATTGGGCCTTCTGCCGATTGATTGAACAGAGCCTCCGTAGGCAGCGGATCAAACATGGTTCTCGCATTTTTGCTGTTGAGGAAGGGTTGCTCCTTGCCGCGCGGCTGCTTCCCGCGACGTTTGGCTGGCGAATGGCCGTTCAGCAGGCTTGACTCGATTGAATCACTTTCTTTGATCACGACTGAGGACATTGCCGCATCTTCCTCGGGGTCGTGCGCGTCGTCCCAGATTTCGTCTGCGTGTACAGCTCCTCCTCCTTTCGGTGCAGAGTGCAGCCCGGTGTTGTGCAATGGTGTGCCGTTCGTGGCAGGGTGCTGAGGGCCGCCGTTGCCCTTGACCCGGGGCCTCGGTGACTCTTCCGTGATGACCACTTGCTGGTGCCGCTTGTAAGGTGAGAGATGGTTGGGAAACGACTTGGGTGTCGCGTCGTCCTTCTGGAGCTTCAATCCCAGGACGGCCTGCTGCAACGCTTGGGGATCCATTGTGTTTTCCCATTTGCTGGCAATGTGATGGTTAGGTGCAAAGTCGGGCCGTTGCTGTGGCAGGCGCGGCTGGTGCCCAACGGCCGAGGTGTTGCTCCAGCCGTCTTCCAAGTCTTGCTTTTCACTCCCAGACAAGACAGACGATGACGAGACAGACCCGTCGTCGTTGTCACCAAAGTCGGAATCGTCGCTGCCGCTGAGTGTTTGATTCAGGACGATCCGACCACCATCACTGCCGTTCTCGAAGGACTCGGCTCTCGTTGCCGATAGAACTTGCTGTGTTGGCCAACGCTGTGACACTTGCCGATGTCTAGCTTGTTGGAACGTTGGCTGCGGTCTTCGAGGCTGCAGTGGTTGCAACGGGTGCAGAGGCTGCTGCAGAGGCTGCGGTTGCTTGCTTTTGTGCTGCTCTCCATCGTCGTCCTCGACCCACAAGTTCTCCTCCTCCTCTGGTTGGACGTTGTACCACGCTTGCAGGCTTTCGTTGTAGACCATGTTTCCCTGGCGCCGAGCGGTTGTTGCAGGCGGCTTGATTTGCTGAGGGGACTTTGGAGGAAGCTGCTGCTCGCGGGCTGCTGCAGGCTCTGCTTTCCTGACAAGCGAGCTGTGGTTGGTGGTGTGTGCATCACTAGTAATCGCATTCAATCCCAATGAGCCTGCGGTAGTAACTGTGGAATCGGCGGCAGCTGCTGGCGATGGAATTCCATTGTGTTGACCACGATTGTCTCCGTTCAGCGCCGCCAGTCCTGTCGTGCCCTCTGAATTCTTGCCTTGGTCTGTGAGATTCAATTGAGATCCAACGGACGGCGCGACATCCTGCGGTTTCGATGCACTCTGGTGCCTGCGATTCGCGTTGGGATGGATCGCGTCGGCGATGCTACTTGTCCGCGCGTCTGGAGCAGCGTCACTGCCAGCACTTGCACCACTGCTTTCTGCTTGATGCATCCCGACGTTGAACTTTCCCGCCTCGCCATGGTGGTCGTCCGCGTTGTGCGCCTCCTTCTTGCTGCTCTCGCTCTCGCCCTCGTCTTCGTCCTCGTCGGTCGAGTCAAACCCTCGGGTGTCTTCGAGATTGCCATTCCACCTCATGTTGCGCTGGTCAAACACCATGCCTTCGCTCGACTTGGTTGCGGCGTCCATCGCTGCCTTGCTGTTCGCTGGGATGAGCTGCAGCCGGCTACTGTTGTTGGAGTGGCGGCCGCCAAGTCCGCTTGAGGTTGACAGCGCTCCTGCTGCTCCTGCCGCTCCTCCTCCGCCAAGGTCGCCGTCGCTCGTTTCGCCATTTATTGCCTGCATCTCGGACATCATTATTCAAGCCGAGCAAACAAAAAAAAACCAACAACCCAAAACCCGGAAACAGAGAAAGTTCAGGAAATTGTTTCGCGCGCTTTTCAAAAAAAAAAAAAAAAAAAAACTGAAACGGTTTCAAAAATGGCTGGAAAAAAAAAAAAAAAAAAAAAAAAGCCGGGAAAGCATTGCTCGACACATTGCGGGATAGAGAAGCATTCAACACGCTGAAGGATTGGTTTGTTTGAAGGTGAAATTGTGTAGTCAGACGAAAGAGTCACAACTCAACTGCAAAAGCTGGGACACGAAAGTGCGAATCCAATATTGAATCGCGCCTCCGACGCCGTGGCATCGTGAAACTCTGTTCAAACGACCCGAAGGGTGTCAAAGACAATAGGCAACTTGTCATGCTTGAGTTTTGTTTGGTTGGGTGGGACGAAGAAGGCTGCTTTGCACGGAACGCATTGTCGGAGAACTTTGAACAAAATGAGAAAAAACGCAATCGGAAGCATTAAAAACGCACGCCGTCTCCGGGTTGCTGTGGACTTGACTGGATGACCAGGGTGTTCTAATATTGTTTTCATTGCTATAATTTGAATTTATTCGCCAGCGGGAGTCACAGGACAGGGAGCATTGCCACGAGACTCGGCGTGCATTTAGCAGATGCTGCAATTCTCCAGCTCCTCATCGGTCACCCGACCGTTTGATACAAATAAGCTTGACGTGATGTTTACAATCGAAAGAAGTGGGTAACTTGGCGGTTTGCGCTACAATCCGCAGAAAACTCCTTTGTTGCAGGATGTAAGGCAATTGTTCATCAACCCAGAACCACACCACGTTGCCGTTTCCCTTGGCTCCTTTTCATCCTCAGCCAACTGATTTACATTTATTTTACATAGAGTACACAAGCAACGAAAGAGCCCATCGCCGTTTCGACTTTCAGTCGCAGCATGGACCTCCGCCAAGTTTCACGAGTTTCAACTCTGCCACTTCTCGCTGATGCGTGCGTTTCTTGTGAGAGTTTTTTTTTTTTTTTTTTTTGGTCCCTGTATCCTTTTCTTTGATGACACATCACACAGCACAATTCACTGTCGACGTGTCGTACACGAATGCAAAAACCCAACTAACAAAATCCATCAAAAAAAAGTAGTAAAACGTAAAATGGGATAAAAACTATCTAACTTCAGTCACACAAATGTCAAGCTCTGCTGTTCAAACCTCGCAACGCAAGCGAAGGCGCGAACCCGCCGACGTTGACGGCGACCAGGCGACCGCTGCGTCTCAGTCAGCAACAGTAGCCTCATCATCGTCATCGTCATCGTCATCGTCATCAGCGGCTGGAAAGCCGAGCGCTGCGGATGCGTCGTCGGCGCTGCCCGTCCTCAAGCTCGCCCGCGCACTCGAAGACCCGGCTCCGCTCACTGCCGAGCTCAACGGCCGCATCGTCAAGGTGCGTTCCGTCTCCATCGACTCCCCCCCCCCGCATCCAACGTCGTTCGTTGTCGTGGTTGTTCGTGGTTGGTCGTCGGACGAGTTTCAATGTCGCCAAAGAAGATGCCCGCAAACTCAAAAAAAAAAAAAAAAAAAAAAAAAAACCCCTATGCTTTGCTTCAAGTGAACCAACCCATTCACTATCCATCGTCTCTCCAGCTTCATTTCATCCTCGCTTGAAACTTTTTTGAAATATTGTTGATCATTTTTTTTAAACCGAAACGGTGCAGCTTTTCTTGTCGTTGCTTTCGACCAAAAACTCACTTCGCTGTCCTTTTTGTTGTGCGCACATTTTAGGAAGACGCCGATGGTAAAACGCTGCACTGGATCGGTTTTGCACTGTGGATCTGTGCCACGTCGGAATTGTACGATGCTCCTCTTGCATTTTCACTGCACTAACGCTTGTTGGTTTGTTTGGATCCAGGCAACCCGCTGATTCGCGTCTACGCGGACGGCATTTTCGATCTCTTCCACTCGGGCCACGCGAAAATGTTGATGCAGGCCAAGAAGCTCTTCCCGAACACGTACCTGATCGTTGGCGGTGAGTTTTTCTGTCGTGACGCTGCCAGACGAAACAGAACAAACAAACCAAATAACAACCAAACAACACAAAACCAACTTTCGTGAGTGACAACAACCATTTGGCCTCTTTTCGCTCACGATTGGGACCGTTCTGCGGGTGGGGGGTGAATGGACCTGTTTGACAGTCTGCAATGACGAAATGACGCATCGACTCAAGGGAAACACGGTGCTTTCCGAAGACGAGCGCTACGAAGGCGTGCGGCACTGCCGTTATGTCGACCAAGTGCTCGAAAATGCGCCCTGGGTCATCACCAAAGAGTTCCTCGACGAGCACCAAGTACGTGTCAGACACGAGAGATGGGGGAAGGGTTTGTTGAGGCTGATGGATTGAAACTAACCCCCGATGTGACGCAACTCGCCAAGATTGATTTTGTCGCTCACGACGATCTGCCGTACGCATCCGCCACGAGCGACGACGTCTACCGTCCCATCAAAGAGATGGGCAAGTTCAGGGCCACGCAGCGCACGGAGGGCATCTCCACGTCAGATATCATCACTCGCCTGGTGAAGGATTATGACAAGTACGTCCGCCGAAACCTTGCGCGCGGTTATACTGCCAAAGAACTGAACGTCGGCTTTGTCAAGGTGAGCATGCCGAGCACGACGCTATCTGAGCTCGCCATTTTTGAGGGGAAGTTCGGGGGTGTGTCGGCTGTGTTTCTCGACTCCAAGGCTGATGACTCGCTGCATTCGCTCTTCCACAGAGGCGCCAGTATCAGCTTGATGCGTTGAAGGAGAAAGTGGACAAGTCCGTCAAGCGCATCGAAGAAAAGTCGCAAGAGCTGCTGACGAAATGGGAAGACAAGTCGAGCGAGTTGATTTCCGACTTTTTGGGCATCTTCCAGTCCGGCAAGCAGATTGTACAGCGTCGATCGGCTGGTATCGGGTTTTTGATTGGCTCGCGATCGCCATCTCCTGGACAAGACACTGGCACAGAGATGGAGGTGGATCCGAGCGACACGTCTGCTGCTGACAATGACAGCGAATCCGCCAGCGATGTCTCTGATGAAGAAGAGGCGGATGAGGATCAAGATGAGGACGAAGAGGAAGAGACGGACGAGCAGCCAAAAGCGCGTCGCCCGATTCGGAAGCGGCGCTAAAGCTCAAACTGCTCGACTAGTTGCTCTCTTTCTCTCTCGAGTTTTCCTGATTTTATGCGTGCTACTTGCCTCAGTTGTTTCTTTGGGTTCAATGGTTGTATGCACAGGTGCTTTGCTTTGGTTTTCAATCATCACGTTTCGAAACAAGAAAAAAAACCCCAACCAACCAACCAAACAAACAAACAAACAAACAAAAAAAAAAAAAAACCAATTACTTTGATTGAACAGAGCACAACTACCAAAAACAAAACAAAAAACCCTCTGCATGCATGGGCAAACACAACATGGCATCCTCACAGCAATATCTATGGCTTAAACAAACAAAAAAAAAAGCAACAACACAAAAACCAAAAAGGAGTCGACAAACAACAAGGCAACCGTGCGTGTGTTTGGTTGTTGATGCGATTCTTCGGCATTCCAAACCCCGTCGAGGGTGCAAGACTTTTGTTTTTTAGTGAAGCAGGAACTCGAGCTTCTCACTGCACAACGAAACCGTTCGAAACAAGAAGTGAAAACAAAAACAAACAAAAAAAACGGGTCAGCAAAATCATCCGAAAACGGAACACTGTGAGCAAGTTGAGTCTGCAACCCTTCCTTCCTGCTCCGTGACTTACAAGAACGTCATTTGATGGTAGGACACGCTTGGGGGTGCGTTTGCCTTTCGCCTCCAGTCTTCAATCCAGGGACGGGATGAAATGTTCTGGGGCAGCCGAGTGGGAGCTTTGCCTTCCGTCTTGGCCTTGAATTCAGCCAGCGAGGCGCGAGCGGCAGACATGGCGTTGATGGAGGCTTGGAGCTGAGCAATGTGAAGGTTGAGCAGCACCTTCTCGACTTCCATCTCAACAATAGTGCCACGAGCCAGGCCTTGCGTTGTGACGGTGGATTCGGCGGGTGCGTAGTAACGGGGAGCCGCCTGGACGTTCGACTCGAGGTTGCCACCGGGGAATGCGCTCAGCAGACGCTCAATCTCCGTTTCGTTGCGCTCACGTTCAGCCGAGATGCGATCCAGCTCAATGCGGAGCTTGAGCAGCTCTGCGCCTTCAACGCTCACCTTCTGCTTAAAGTTGGACGCTCGAGTCGTCTCAACCTCTTCGCGAAGCAAGTGGAGACGCTTGCGCTCGATCTTTGCGTTGACCTATGAGTTGCCGTGCAAAAAGAAACAGTTAGTTTACCAACCTAATTAGCTAAGCAACCCGACGACAATCCCTGTGTATCAATCCGTTTTGCTTTCTCATTTCGCAGGTAGTTAGTTACCTCGACCAGCAGGCGGAGCTTGTTGGAGATGGCAGTCAACGAGGACTCCTTGAAGGACTCGAGCTTTTCAATCGCCTCCTCAGCAATGGCAATCTGGGAAGCGACGGCCTGCAAGTTGTAGTGCAGGTCGTTGCGGCCGCCAGCGATAATCTCCTTCAGGCGCTCCTGTTCTGCGTAGAGGAGCTCAATCTCACGGGTGTGGTGCTGGATCTCCGCGGGGAGGCTGTGGACCTTGCTCAGCTGAGAAGTCACCTTGGCCTGCTCGACGCGGAGGAACTCGAGCATCTGCTTCTTTTGGCGAACCGACTCCAAGTCCCAAGGGTGCAAGAAGGTCGTGATTTGGTTGACATGGTCAATGTAAAAGATGTTGTCGTGGGCATCAAACACGCGCTCAAAGCCGTACGGCAGCTCGGTGGGGAGGGTCTCACGCACGCTCGCCTTGCGGGTGTTCTTGGTGCGAGGATCAATCCAAGTGGACGTGCCGTTGACGTGATCGTTGAAGTAGGTGCGTCCGGTGATGGAGTCGACACCGATGGACCAGTTCTCGGGGAGGGGAGTGTCGGGAGCAATCTCGTCCACATCGTCGTACACGTCCGGCACAGAGTACGCCAGCTCTTCGCTCTTGGACGAAACAGACGCCACGGGCTTCAGGGTGCTCGCAGAGGACTTTTTGGACGCACGGGAGGAAGCAGGCGCCTCAACACGAGGAGTCGACTGCGCGCGTTGATTCGTCTCAACACGCGGAGTGGCGGGAGGCGTGCTGGTGCCGTTGGCGACGGGCGCGATAACTGGAGGTGGGAGCGCGGCGGAAACAGACTCTGAAGCCACAACTCCGTGCGTCGATCGCACAACAAGCGTCACCTTGGTGCCGGAGCCCTTGAGGAATCGAACGGCGTCTTCATGTGATGCGTTCTTGAGGCTGTTGCCGTTGACGGACAAAATCTCGTCACCGTAGTGCAGCTGGCCAGAGCGCTCGGCCACACCCCCGGCAAAGACGCGGCTGATGATGACGGGGAGGTTGAGCCCGCTGCCTCCCTTGATGGAAAAGTCAAAGCCTGACTGGCCTCGGATCAGGACAACTTCGCGTTCAACGCCCGGGTTGGCTTCCATCTGTGAGTGTTGGTGGTCGATGTCGAAACAACAACAAAAAAGGTGGGCAGGACAAGAACAAGGCGATCGTGTGAGTTATTCGTTGTGAAGGGAAATGCAATGAAAGCAAATGCGAGGCAAGCGGAAGGGAAAAAAAAAAAAAAAAAAATCAATGGAAATGTCCAGAGGAAAAAAAACACGAATCCTGCTTTCCTCTGTCTTCCCTCCCCCATTAGCTCCACGCCGTTCTCGAGATGAAAAGCAGCTGTTGAGATTGCGGCGCGGGCGTCGAAGCCGGGAGATGGTCCGGTCTCCAGCGACGTTGCATTGCTCTTCAGGGAGCAAACGAGAAAAAAAATGTAAAAAATTAAAAAAACCCCCAAAAACCCATCGTTTGCAGTGTTTGCAGTATTAAAGCCGCCGCGCTCCATCCCCGCACAGAGTGCACAAGACACCGAAAATAGGGCTCTGATAGCGGGGATGTCGCGAAGACCCCCGCGGCGAGTGTCATCCGAACAAACACCTTCAATGAAGTCCAAAGGGCGCTTTTTTGTTTTTTTTCAGTTTTTTGGTTTTTTCGTGGTGGCGCTTTCTGCCCCCCTGGGGCATCTGGCCTTCGCTGCTGGGCGCTCTCTGGCAGCTGGCTGATTCGGGTGCTGGCACGCAAATCAAACAGGCTGTTGTGTTTGTGCTGACGCGCCATGGCGCCCGTTCTGCTGACGACGACCGCTTCTCAAGCATTCGAATTGCAGGCGCAAAATAAAAAAAAATCAAATCCAAAAAAAAGCACGCCCTTTCAAAACAAAAAAAAAAAAAAAAAAAAAAAAAAGCGATCGATTTTCCATTCAAACAGTATTACATTGAGAAAATGAGAAATGGGAAGCAGCAAAAAAGCAAGGTGAGCTGTACTTCGATCAAAGCACGACTCACGATTGAAACAAAAACGCATCCGAATTGCACTGGACCGTGACGCATCTCCAACTTGAATGGGATGTGCAGTAGATCTAGAATGTAGTCACACACACCCCGATAAAAAGATCTTTTGGGAGGTCTGATCTGGTCGCAGGCGATGCTATTCCGCAGAAACTTGCATTCGTCAAAATAAAGGCCGCGTGGTTTATTCAAAGCACAGACAATCAGACAAACAAACAAAGACACTCAATCAAAACTCATCATGGTAAGCGGGAACACGCTGCAAATGACGAGCAAGAGGCATGTCCAACACAAACTGCGCGACATCCTCAGGTACGCGAAGATCGGGCTGCGGGACGGGCGGGACGAGTCCAAGAAGCGCATCAATGTTGCTGACACCGAGCGCTTTGGCAATTGCTGCCTCGCTCCCTTCGTGCCGCCACAGTTTGAGTCGGCACAGCGAGGAAAGTCTCAAAGGCTGCGCTTGCTCGGCCATTTGCAGAATCTGCTTGAGAGTTTCCTGGTTGGTTGCCTCCACTTGGTCAGACAAGCGAATCCACTCCTTTTTGAGTGCTCGGTCATAGGGATGCTCGACATTTGGCCAGCCAACACGTGATGATGGCAACAGGAAATCGAGGCATTTGGAAGGAGAGAGTCCCCACGCCAGCAGGCATCCCACAACCAAGCGTCGAGTCGTCGCCACGGCAAATGGATGAGCATCACCGGAATACCACCAACCTTTGGCATCGAAAGCAGGCAAAGTACGAAAGCCTGCAAGCTCAAACTGGTAGAGCCAATTCGAAAAGTACGATGTCGGTCTGTCAATGAAGTTCTGCTGGCCAAGTTCAGGTAGCCACTCAAGCACAGGTGCCATATCCCACCCCGCCGCCTCCTTGAACCAATCGGCATCGTACCCAAAAGGATCACCGCAAATGACTTCTTCAGCTTCCTCGGTCACGCCAAACTTGTCGTAAATCGACGGACCCGCGGGCCGTGGCGGATGCACGCAGTCGTAGGACACAGGCTTGCGCTCGGGATACAACCACTCCAAGACGAGCGTGACACAATTCCAGGCATTCGGTCTGCGGCGATTGACGTGGTTCTTCAGCCAGCAAGCCAGCAGTTCCTCGCGAAGACCGTGCATGTCCTCGTAGTGGTGAGTTAGACAGTACCGAAGCATGTCAATGCTGGTCGTGGCGCAGTGATCAATGACGTCTTGCGGTGGTCGTACACGCTCGACGAAAATCCAGTATCGGAACAGCATAACCCACACAGCTGATGAGGTGCAAAACTGTGCGCAGTTTATGTTATGCCCCAACAAGGCCGTGGACAGTGTGCTTCCGGACCAGTACCGACCAACCCGAATCGTCTCGAGCGCGTCAAACAGCTCCATAATGGAGCCAGTCATGAGCGGGCTCTCAATTTCATTCAAGTACCGAGTGCAGTGGCGCGAGTGCATCACCCAGCCAGTCTGTTCACTGCCAGTCCCGCTGGAGAACGAAGCGAAATAGGGATCTGAGTCAAGCCAGTGGAGTTTCGCGTCCAGAGGCACACCAGTCGCAACCAAGTCCATCTGCAGTGTCGCGTCGCGCAGCAGGTCTCCATGAAACGTGAGACGGTCGATGTTGGACTGGTTGATTGAGCACGAGGTTGCTGTGGCTTCATCGACCATGAAAATGCGAGAAGCATTGCGCTCGGCACGCCGCAGGCAGCGACGTACAAAGCGGGACTTGGTGTCGATGGCGACTCCTCGATGCGAGAAGCGCACACGCTCGGCCGACTTGGATGCCACGAACGAAGGAAGCAGACGACGCCCAACTGCCCAGTTAAACTCGGGGCTCGCGTCCAGTGGATTAAAGTCGGGCTCGCGATTCACAGGGTGGTTTTGGATAAAGTCATCCAGGGGAAAGTCTGGGATGGATTGTCAAGCAGAGTGATGCGGCAAAGAGAAGGTGAGTCGTTTGCTATTTTTTGGTTGTCGCATTGCATTGCTGTGTTCAGTCGGTTACCTTCAGATCCATCAAAAATGTCCCACCAAAAAGACAGAGGGGCTCGATTGGAATCGGCCGTCTCGACGCCGGAGCTGGAGCCCGAGCTGGACGATGCACGCGCGGTCGTCGCTTCTGAGATGGAGCACGATGCGCCAGGCAGCACGCCTGCTTTGGCCGCTTCTGCGACTGCGAGCGCCCATGGCGTGGGAGCCTGCTCTGACTGTGATGGAGTAGACTCGGGTGCAGCAGCAGCAGCAGCAGCAGCAGCAGAGCTCTGCTGAAGCTTGGTCGGGACTGGTCGCTGGCACTTTAGCATGGAAATCACCCACTCCTCCGGGTCGAAGCCAGCCTCGCGGATGCCGTCCCAGAACGAGTCTGTCGCGGGATTGCGCTTGTGCAGAATGCCGACATAGCCGAATCGCGCGTCCTCGCGGTACATTGGGTGCCGTCGATAGTTGAGCTCGTCCAGCGTGTCGTCGTCGCTCTCCCGATCGTCAAAGCCCATAGCTGAGTCGTCGTCCCTGCCGTTATTGGCAATAACGACGTTCCCAACACTGCTGTTCGAATCGTAGCCATCAGAGTCGTCGGAACTGTCAGAATCATCGTGACTGTCAGAATCTTCGTGTTCATGACTGTCAGAGTCGTCGGACATTGGAAGCAGGGAAAAAGAAACAAAACAAGAAAAAACAACAAAAAGCTGAGATTCGAACAAGGACTGTCACTCTGACAGTGTCGTACACAAGCCAAAGAATCTCAGAAACAAATAATCGGAATTGACAACCAAAGACCGTCCTGCAGAATTCCAAGTTCTGTGAGTGAACTTTGCGAGTTTCAGGCCTGATTCATTCATTCGACATTCGACGCTGCTCGGATTGTTGAACCGAAGATGGGTCTGGTTAGCATACCCCCCTTACCGCTTCCCTCCCCGCAGTGTTGACGAATATTACAAATGCCAGCTTTACTACTTTTTACAGAACGAAAAAACAAAGCAAAGCCCGGAAAAACAAATTGTTAAGAGTGCTCCATTGCTGCAGAAGTGGACGAGGGTAATGATGCAGGTGCATGGGTGTGCTCAGAGCCTTGGGGACCATGCTGGTGGTGATGCAGGCAATTGAACAGCGCATTCTTGATGACTTGCGCCATCAGACCGTGCACCGCTTCGATCGACATTTTGGAACTGGTGCAGTGGAAACAAATGACATCAGGCGATGAGCATCATATTGACAATCCCTCGGCATGCGTACTTCAACATGGTGGCGGATTTTTTTTTTTTTTTTTTTTTGTACTGGCGGATGATCAGTCCGTACCTGTCTCGCGTAATCTTGGAAAGCTCGTCTTCTTTCTTGGAATCGGTGCTGCCAGGGACTTGGTACTTGGTGCCCTTGTGCTCGAGACTCTCCAGCTTGGTGGCGAGGTCGGCAATCTGGCGCGTTGTGTACTCCATGTTCTGCCTCGTTCAACAGCGCGAGATCAGCAAGTCATCCAGCAGCCTTTTTCCCCTAACTCGACGAACCACACGTCATCAGCGTTCATACCGTAAGAAGCGTGGAGGAGGAGAGTGTGTTGACCCAGTACTTGTTCCAGAGCAGGTCCAGCAACTTGTGATCGAGAGACGACTTGAAGTACGAAGTCTCCAAAGCATAATATCTTCAAAAGAACAAGAGTGCATGCGTTAGAAACAAAAAGTAAACAGCAAAGTCGTGGGAAGAAACTCACACCTGTGTGAAGTGTGGGGATGTGAGGTGAGAAAAATGTCGAAAAAACTTACGACTTGCAATGGACACCAAAATCCTCAATCTTGTTCAAGGGAATGGTCTGGTACTCGGAGGGACCTTCATTCGGAGGCGTGTAGCCTTGAGGATAGGTCCGGAACGCGCCGAGCTCGACCTTGCCCGCAGAGATGGTGCGGGTGGGGTCAATCTGCGAGCAGCCACCACATCAGGACGAAACGAATCAACCATAGTTGGCAAAGTCAAAAGCATCAACAACATGGCGCCAGCAACAAAAAAAAAAGAAACAGTCGCCACTGACAACAACCGCAACCCAAGGCTCTTGGAACTGTTGGTTGAGCGACTGGGTGCCGACATCAATGCCCGAGAGCCAGCATCCATAACCAGGATGGGAGTGATACCAGCCAATGGCGTTTTCGAGACGGCCAACCTAGAAGTAAACACACATCCATGCATGGATGAATGAACGAAACGAATGAAGGTCGCTGCGATCGCCAACGTTGCGACAAACTGCTCGAGACCACACTCAAACCGAACAGCACAGACGAGCATATGTCCCTTACATCCTTGATGACAGTCATGTAGTCGACCATGTACTCGTAGCCCTCAGCAGCCGCATTGACACGGGTCTCTGTGCCTTCGACGGGGAGCGCGAACGCGTCCATGATGATCATTGTGTCTCCGTCAATCTTGCCTTGCATCAGGCCCATGACTTCGATATTGCCACCCGAGCGAGCGTGCATGACCTGGTTGTCCAATGGGACGGCAAAAGTGACCACGAATTCCGCAGCATCAACATCAGTGATGAGTTGCAGTGGTCAACGTCAGCCATAGTCGAGGGCGCGCAGCAGAACTCTCGGCGGCAAAGCAACCCAAAAAACGCCTCAACCAAGTCATCAGCGTGCGCTCGCTCGCCAACTCACCATCTTGAGCAGTGCGATGGCCGAGATCTTGACCTTCTTGAAGTAGTGAGGACTGCCGCGTCCCGGGTCAAGAGCGGAGGTGGCACAGCAGCAGCAGCAGCAGCAGCGCAGACAAAAAACCAAAAAAAAAAAAAAAAAAAAAACCAGCATCAGCCGCCGAGACAACAGCCAAGAACAGCAGCAGCAGCAGAGACCGGGCGGCGCCTCACTCTTTGGTCCATGGTCGGGACTGGAGCAGCTGTTGCTGTTCCTGCTGGTTGAAGCGGAAGACTTGGTCCAGCGACGACACTTCCGTCATGTCATTGGAAAGCTCAAAAGTGGCTCGCGCGTTCGAAGTGTCTGCGTCCATGGTTTGGGCCAACAAGCAAAGAGACTGAGACGGTTTTCAAGCAATAAATAGATTGACAATATTACAAAAAAGAAATTGAGAAAGTGTGTCATCTGGAGCTGGTGTGAGAATGTACAGCATTGCACAGAAGAAGGCGAACAATCCTTCTGTGCTTGTTGTGTCGAGAAGCAGCCGCCGAAACCTGAATGTGCTGTCTGGGTGCTTTAGCTTGCTTGTTGCATGTTGAAAGAATGATCCACCCCCAAGCCATGCATCGAGTCCTGGTTATGCTTCTGATGCGAAAATTTGTTCAATCCGGTTGACCCGTCCCATACATCCATCGAAGCATTCCCCCCAAGCCATCCAAGGCCATTGTTGGAGGCATGACATGGACAATTTATTATTCACTCCTCTTCTTCACTCATTTTCTCTCCGTTCCCATTTCAAGCATTGCATTGAGGATGGGCGACGACAACGAGCGAAGGCCGCTGCTCTTCAATGAGGACTCTGAAGCTTCGGAGCAGGCCGTGCTGTACCGCGGCATCAACTCTGAGTACAACCGCGATGAGACTGGCAGTCTGCTGTCGGACTCGTCGCTCGCCTACTCGCCGCGTGACAAGGCGTCCAGTGACTACCGCAGCACGCTCCACGACGAGACTGACCCGAACATTGGCTCGTCCGCCGACTATCGCAAGGCAAGCGTTTGGCCCCTCTCTTCTTCTTCTTCTCCCGCTGGTCACCCGAACACTGGAGATTAGTGTTGCCTTGCCTTTCTTCTCTTCTCATTCTCGGTCTCTTTGTGTGGTGGCGGTGCTGGGCCTCTCTTACAATGGGGCAAGGTGGAACAAGCGAAAAAAAAAAAAAAAGCAAAAAACGTTTTTTGACTTCTCACTCGCAACGAGACCGTGACAAAAATCCAAGGCCGAGACAGCAAAACCAACAGACGTGTGACCCCTGTTGACTTTGTTGGTCCCATCTCATTTGTGAGTGGCGAGGGAAGCGCAGTGCGGCTGTCGTCTGCTGCACGGAATGCTCGGTTTAGTGTCGGGAATATGCGAGCGGAAGTTACAAAAAAAAAAAAAGAAAAAAAAAAAAAGGAGCAGCTGACTTGGTGATTGATGGTGATACGAACGAGCGGCCTGCAACACAAAATCACGGGTCGTCGCAAGTGTCCTCTGCACGATGTAGATGGGTGCTGGAAGAGTAGAACCAGGCATGGTTGGTGAGTGGAGACGCCATGGGGCCTGCAAGAGAGCGAGCGAGACAGAGAGAGAGAGAGCGGCGTTTGGGAAAGTGGGACACACTTGGTCCGATCTTGTTCTTCTGGGCGTCGTGATTCATGGTATCACCAATGTAGGACGAGTGTGTCTTTCGCAGTGGTCTCTGGTCTGTGAGGCGGATGCTGATGCACGGCGGCGCGCAGCAACAAGAAAAAAAAACCGCCAACAAACGAACTGCGGTCTCAGTTCTTCCGCTCCTGTTGTTGATTCCTTTGTCTCCGTTCCGTTCTGCTCTCTCCTCTACTGCTGCTGCTGCTGCTGTTGTTGTTATGAACGGTGCCCGAGGACTCCCCCTTTTGTTTTTTTCATGCGTGTGCCACACTTTCAACCCCCTTCTACTTTTCGGACATGAGGTTTGCCATTTGCTGGAAATCATTCTGTGTCACTTGGCCATTCAACCGACCTTCGGCTCCAATCAAAAATCCCCCACACTTGGTCGTCCTAGATTTATTGCTTTCTTCGTTCCCCCCCCCCTCACTCGATGGTTTGGCTTGTATGCTCATGCACTCAACTTGTCATGATCACCACTACATTGCATTACACAGGCGGGTCCCTCGCAAAAGCCGTTGCACGATCTCTCATCGGACAAGTCACCGCTGCTGTCTGGCGCGGACGCGTAAGGCCATCCCCGCCTTCGTCTGCTTCGTTGCATGCATTGCTTCTGGTCACCGATTCACTCATCGTTGCATCTCGCTCTTTTTTTTTTTTTTTTTTTTTTTTTTTGGACTCGTGGCACAGCGTCGAATCGGAAATTGACAGGAAGCAACGCTGGTGGTCGATTCGCATCATGTACCTCGCCATGTTCTTTTCTAGCGTTGCCTTTTCCATCTTGATTGCAAGCTTGTCGCCTTTCTTGACGCTGGTATGGCACACTGGAGCACTTTGCGAAGAATCCAGACTCGTTGTTCATTTGCTTGCTCACTTTTTTTTTTTTTTTTTCTGTTTTATGTCTCGTCTCCGCGTGCTTGCCTCGGCCTCGTTCTCCTCCCTAGCTCTCGCCAAAAGGCGAATCTACCAATTCCTTCCTCGGCTATGTGGTCGCTGCTTACTCCATTGGCCAGTTTGCGTCGTCGCCATTCTTTGGATGGTGGGCAAACCGCGCGCCGTACAAGTGGTGCTTGTTTGTCTCGATTCTGATCAATGTCAGCGGCAACATGATGTACTGTTTGTCCAACTACACCACGGACGACAACGAGGGCCAAAAGTACGTCATGCTGATTGCGCGCTTGGTGGTTGGCTTGAGTGCTGGTAACGTTGCCATCACTCGCGCCTACGTTGCGGGTGCCACGCACCTCAGCGAGCGCACCCACACCATGTCAATGCTCTCAGCATGCCAGACTGGCGGTTTTGTCGTTGGTCCGCTGCTCGGTTCGGCCTTCTCGTCCATCGACCCTGGTGTGCGCACTGGCCCCTTGATTATCAACTATTGCACAGCACCTGCGCTCTTCTCCGTCTTCCTCGGCATTATCCAAGCCATCATTGTCTTGATTTTCTTCCGCGAGTACCGTCTTGACGGTGGCGCTGTCTCTCGCACGACTGTGAAGGCCGATGCTGAGGCACGCAAAGGTAAGCGGTGATTTTTTCCTTTGTGTTTTTTTTTTTCCTTTGTGTGTCGCCGCCAGCTTGCTCTCCATCCATTCAACTCACATCCCACTCCTCCTCAACCCCCCCCCCCTTTCCAAACCTTCTCTTTTCCGCCACCCCTTGTGTTGCCTTACCAGCAAATTCGCTCGCCAAGGCCCCCAACATGATGCCCATGGACAAGCTTGCTGTTGGCCTGTGTGTCTTCATGTTCTTCCTCATTCTGTTCGTGTTTGCACTTTACGAAACAATCGGCACCCCGCTGACCAAGGACGAGTACTCGTGGTCGGACACGGAGGCCACCCGTTACGTCGGCATCCTCTTTGGCGTTTCTGGCGGCATTGGTGTTCTCATCTTCATGGTCGTCAAGCCTCTGTCGGCTCGCTTTGGCGATCGCAAGACCATGATCGCTGGCATGCTTCTTGTGGTCATTGGCTTCATCTTCTACTTGCCTTTCGGCCCACCGAGCTATACTCCCTGCCCCAACGACAAGTTTGGTTGGTGCGATCACACTCCCACCCTTCCTCTTGCCCAGTACATTGTTGCCTGCACCTTCATTTCGCTGGGTTATCCCGTTGTGACGGTCTTGCTTTTTATCATCTACTCCAAGGTTCTTGGTCCTGGTCCTCAAGGAACATACATGTACGTTGCCATTTTTTCTTCTTCATTCGCTCTTTTTGCTCGTTTGGTTTGCAACGGGGTTTTTGTCGCGCGCTCTCGTGTCTTACTTTTTGCTTGTCATTTTACCGCCTTTTGTGTTTGCTGGCGCTCCAAACAGGGGCATCTTGACCGCTGCTGGCTCGCTTGCTCGTGTTCTTGGCCCGCTCTTCATTACCAACGCGTGGGATGCGGCTGGTCCTTACGCTGCATTCGCACCTGTGCTCGGTCTGCTGGTCATCATGACGGTGACGGCACTCGTCTTCTACAAGCGTTTGATTCCCCGACGAGCATTGACAACAATGTAAAAAACACAAATCCTCCCTCCCCCCCCCCGCTCCCTTTTTTGCTTTCCTTTCGTTTACATCAACTATCGGGATACTTGTGCACTATACCGTATACCGCTACCTGTCCCAAACAAACAAAACAACAACCCGTCTGTAATTTTTTGATGTGTGAAATACATTGTTTTCATTTCTGACAGCGTTCGGGTTGTTCCATTCAAAAGGAAGCATTACATCGCACGCTTTGCAAACTGAATCGATTCTGATGCAGACTCAGTCCTAGTTCAAGCGTCCTTGCTTTGCTTTGCTTCCAGTGTAACGATCTGCGGAAAATTTGGCTAAGCTATGAGTGACGGACCTGGTCCTGGCGCCTCAACGACCGCCCACCATCAGCAACATCCTCACTCCCATCATCACAGGCGACCCAAGAAAGTGGCGCGCTTCCTCCTACGCTCGTTGACGCGGTGTTGCTACACTGTCGCGTGGCTGCTGGGCGTTGTTGCAGTGCTGGTTGGAGTGCTCCTTGCCCTCGACCTCTACGCCACCCACTTTAGCGAGCAAGCTGTGCAGACCGACGAGCACGTCGAGTTCTTCATTACCCATTGTACGTTGACCCTCTCGAACAGACGGAGGGACGCGGGGATGAAGTGACATGACAGGCCACTGCTAACTCCTGGTTTGGGATTCTGAGATTTTTAACTCGGACGGAACAGAGGCTCACTCGTGTTGTTGCGTTGTGTGTTGTGCTGCGTCGTTCAACTCACAGCCTCATGCAACCTCGAGGACACGTTGAGCAACGAGTGCTTTGTGACGGCTCACGGAGTGGTGTTTGAGCCAGAATTGGACAGCTCCGTTCGGCGCCAAGTCGCATCGACGATATTGCATTTAGTCGGACTGCAGCAGCTGGACGATGCTGCCAGGCGGAACTACGACCGCCGCGTATGGTTGTTTATGCGGGACTTTGAGCGAGGCAAGAATGTCTCTGTGGCACTGACCCCGTGTTCCGAGCCGCATCATCGGGTGGCGGAAGGCACCAACGTCGACGATCATTCATTCCTACATCGCGCCTTACACTGGACTTTGCACAGTCGTGATGTAGCCGTCCACGAGGAGGGCGATGAAGCGGGCAAACCTAGGACCTGCGACGAACATTGTCTTTTGCTGCGCGAGTTGCACAAGCAGGTTGTTGTCGGCACAATGCTGACAGCGGCAAACGGCCACTTCAAGTTGTCCATTCCCGTGCCAAAGAGCCTGGTCAAGCACTATCTGCGCGACTCTCCGTCTCCGGTGCTGTGGGTGTGCTTTCGTACCGTCCTGCCCGAAGCCGACCGGCGCGTGTTTACTGGGCGTGCGCAATTATCTATCGTCGGATCGGGGCGCCCTTTGCACGTCATCAGCGACATTGACGATACCATCAAGGTGACGCACGTGCGGTTTTTGCGCAGGATGGCCGCACACACCTTCCTGCACGAGTACGAAGCTGTTCAAGGGATGGCTCGGCTTTTCCGTCGACTTGCCGTTGCCCACCATGCCGTGTTTCACTACGTGAGTGACTGTAGCACACGGATTGATAGTCAGCAAAGGGAACGGGGAGAGTTGTTGTTTGCGCTAAACAGCACTGTTTGTTCTTTCAATGTTATTGCTGTATGACCAACAGGTCTCTGGCAGCCCATGGCAGCTTCATGAAGATTTGGTTGCCATGATGACCCGCGCTGGGTTCCCGCTGGGCTCGATGCACCTCAAACTTGTCCGCTTCGACATGCTACTGGGCTTGTTCTCGCGCGGCGGCGAAGGTGTTGGAGCACTGACAGC